ATATTGACATGTTCCTCCATTCCGACATTGATTGGTGCCACAGCCCAGCGTGGTCTGACACACTCCACCTATTAACATGGTTTCAGAAACATTAGTGGATCAGGTGTTGCACATGTACGCATGAACCCAGGAACACACACACACACACATGTGCACATACACACGCGTACACACACACGTACACACACAAGTGCAAGTACACACACACACACGTGTGCACACACCGGCACACACACACACACACAATTAGCACGGCGCACGCGATCACGCAAACAGTGCGTAATCAAACTAAGTCATGTTGCACAATGTTGCGCAATGTCTACACACTGATCATGTGGTTCACTGACACTCACCGGTCACTCCTGGGGGACATAGGCACATGTAACTACCTGCAGTAGAAACCAGTCACATAGAAAAAGACAATTGAATTCATTTTCAGGCGAAGTTATAAAACAATAGAATTGTGAATGGTGCCATTCGGCTGTTCAATAATGCAAAAGGATGGATGGCTATTGATTCAAGAATTCCACAATTGTGGCTCAGCATACCTTCTCCCGTAGCCAAATGCCAAACACGCATATGCCCGCCAGATGTAGTGAAATACGTTGTTCGTGTTTTCTGCCCCCAGTATCATGGCCAGCAAAGAATCCAGTCCAATCAGTGCACTAGCTTTTCAGAGCACTAGTGCCGCAGACCATCAGAATATCAGCTCAACCGTGCACCGGCACATCAATGTGCCCGCGCACTAGTCCATCAGTGTGTTGATGTGTCAGTGTATCGGTGCATCAGTGCATCCGTGCATCAACCCTCCAGTGCATCAGTGCATCAGCCCTCCAGTGCATCAGTAGATCAGCCCTCCAGTGCATCAGTACATCAGCCCTCCAGTGCATCAGTACATCAGCCCTCCAGTGCATCAGTACATCAGCCCTCCAGTCTACCAGTGTGTCAGTGCATCAGTACATCAGTCCATCAGTGTGCCAGTGTGGCAGTGTGGCAGTGTATCAGTACATCAGCCCTCCAGTCCATCAGTGTGGCAGTGTGGCAGTGTATCAGTACATCAGCCCTCCAGTCCATCAGTGTGGCAGTGTGGCAGTGTATCAGTACATCAGCCCGACATCAGTGCATCCGTGTGGCAGTGTACCAATGCATCCATCTACTTACCAATAGTGTTGACGCACGTGCCTGTGTTACGACAGAATGGCGTTATGGGTACGGACTGGCACTCGTCAAAGTCCTGGTCACAGTTCGAGCCCACGAAACCTGCGCACAAAACGGAAGGAGGCCGATATGTACCGTTCATACATTAAAACCTGTCAAGGCGACCACTCTCCTCGTATAAGGCGATCCCTGTCCAGAAGGACCACTACAACTAAAAAAAGACCACCTGTACACAGGGATCACATTTTGCCTTGAGTGGTTGCCCTAGACAGGTCTCACTGTGTAGGGTGACCACAGAGTTGGGTCCACTGAGTCGGCTCCTCTTGGTCTGCATGTGTGGCTGGTACAGGTGGGATCCTGATAATTCGAATATGACTTAATTCGAACATCCCGCTTAATTAGAAGTTTTTCCAGGACCGATTTCTGTCAATACGATTCCCACATAAATTTTCCTGATAATTCGAACCTCGAACCAGACATGTCCGGTTAATTCGAAGTTCCACGGATTCCACTTACATAGAAAATGTGTGGGATTTGTGCTGATAATTCGAAGGTAGCAAAGTGTAATTCGAAGTTCACTGTACACTGTACTAGTCAGTTCAGTTTGCATGAGCAGGCTGTGCCGGTCAGTTCAGTATCCGTGAAATCTGTGTCTAAGGTCCATAGCGCGACTCTGCGTGACCATGGGAGCATTTTGATGTACATATTGTGTTGTGGGTTCATGTTTGGATAATTAGAATGTCCGGCTAATTACAGTCCATTCACAAAAAGATGGGCCCTGGCTCTGGCGAGCTCCCGTATTAGGCGATTTTTCAAAATTTAATCGTACACAGTGCAGTGCCGTGAAATTTGAAATTTGAAAAGGGTCCAAAAAGGGTACCTGAACTGGGGTTCGAACCGTACAATGCACTGTTGCAGGCAGGGTCAAACGGCCTGGATTTTGATGGGTTTTCCCAATTCAGTGCTCTTGGGGCAAAACCTGGCCAAAATCCTATTCTTCCTACGGCTTGCTTTTTGGAGAAATAGATTTCAGAAACATAATTGGAAGAGGATTCCATAGGGGATTGCAGAAAAAATTCTAAGAAACTAAACGTTTGACCCATTTATGACCAAAAGCATAGAAGTCCATCTTTTTCTGAATGGACTGTAGAAGTTTTTTCCTGGCATTTCGAGGTTCGAATTATCAGGATTCCCCCTGAAGTATGATGTATGATTAATTTAGCAGTGATATGCATTCCTGATCAAATGTCCATGCACTTTGCATTACATTGCTATGCACGTGAATTCACATGCGATCACACCATCATCTTCAATACAAAATCCCCATTTCCAAGGCCCGTTC